TCCTGCATACGTGAGGGCATCCTTGAATGCTGTCTGTACCGCGGTGTCTTTGTAGGGGATTGGTTGAACAGCTTCATTGGCAAGGGTAACAAGGACCTGCTTCAACTTCGTAGCCCCCAGTTTCAATACAGGAGAAAGGTTGTCTTTATTGGTCGCACGTTTTAACGTCATTTGCTGAATGCAGGTCGGGCTTATTGAACAGTCAGTTGCAATGAGGCGCAAAGATGCTCCTGAAGACTCACGCAGTTTTGCCCGACTTGAGGTCGGCCCATTTCTCCTTAACCTTAATTTTGGCAAAACCAACCGAATTTTGATCATCCAGTTTGATTTTCATATATTTGTATTCCTTTGTTGTGCCATCGTCGAATTTGAACTCGCTATAACAGTTGAATAAAAAGGAGGTGATTGTAACTGATAGGGCGTACATTGTGGTTGGCACAAGCCCAAATGCTGAGTCGGGCGCAAACTCTGAGTCAGACATTCTTGAGTAACGTTGGTGAGATGAGAAAGGGAGTAAGAAGATCCATCTGTATCGCATGCTATATATACGAGAAACGTTGACAATAGCTGAAAAGGAAAGAAGTATAAGTTTTACTCTGTTTGACCGCTCGGCTTCCCATACTTACCGCGTTCAAACTCTTCTCAAATTGATGTCGCAAATGTGGGGTTCGAATGAAGATATGATTGATGGAAATGCTATCCCATAACAGGCTAAATGTTTAAAGTATAGGAGCATTTTTAACGAGAATTCTGGAGGGTGACTTCTGAATATGACGTACATCGTCGACGTCCAGTAAGTGCCCGCTGCCATAGGCCTGTCACTGGCTGTCACTGACGAACCGGCAAGTCGTCATCTACCGTACTGTTACAGGACTACCACTGCCAGTCTACAGGTACCCGGGAACGGCATGAACGAAAATAAGAAAAAGAAACTTGACGACGTCCGCGCCTCGGGCTTCCGATTCAGGAATCCCACTGCTGGCGAAGTATCTAAGGGAAAATGATAATAAACCTCTTTATTTATTTGTATAAACTTGCTGATGGGCCTCCAGTCCGGAAGCGTTGTGGAGTCTTGCTCCGTTAACCTACTTTCAATAGAAACTGTGACGGATAGCTTCTTCTTACCTACCGCAACTCGAAACCCCGGTGTGCTAATTTATCAAAAGAACATACATATATTAAATCATGGATTTTGCCTACCGAGCCACTCGGCATGCGGCTAGTCCGTGTTAGGGCGTTTCTCGAACGTTCGACATTCCTACGATTTTAAAGGAGTTTGAGAAATCAAATAATTGGTCAAGTTTCGCCAGACCCATGACATGCAAAGATCGAAGTTGATCCAGTGAGCTTGCAGTAGCAGTGCCGCACCCTCAAGCTTTAGTCAATCAAACCTGAAAAAGCACATGGAGTCGGAAATCATCGGACGGATGGGAGTTGACACATGCGCATAACGCCAGTACGAGCCACCCAAATTGAAGCACCACACCAAGCAGCGCCGAGTCCTGACTGGTTCAGAGGATTACTCGCTGTGTCACGGTCGTGCCTTTGATATACATCCGAGAGAAGCCTTGCGTAAGCGCTACGTATGATGTAGATATCTTACGGTTCAGGGACTTGAATCTATTCGGGACTCGGAGGTGTGAATCTTGAACGTTAATTTGGTGACATGCGCATGAAAGCAGGAATGATCTCGAATCTAAAGGTCGAACGTTGGTGTAGAGCCAAATGGAAGACTATTTTTGCTGTGATACTCATCCACGTCTGTTCTTTTTCTTTTAGTTGTCCATTCCTGCCTCAAAAGCCGAAGATATCCCCTACCCTCTCTTCCCTCCGGTTTCCCCCCTTCCCTACGTCATCTTTTTCGCTTCAAACTTTATATCCATCTTCTTGTACCTTACGGCAATCTCCCACCTCCGAAAGTTTCGTGCAAGTGTGCCGACCTTGTCCACCTCGTTGGTGTTCCTCCACGGATTTTGGGGTCCATCCGTGCCAACTGAGAGCTGCTGGCCGATAGTATCAGGTTTGTGAATGTCAAGGGTATCCGGGAAGGAACCAAACCGTTAATTAAGGACGAGAGCGCTTCATTCAGTTCCTCTTTGACTTTTGACAACATTCTTTCTCACACCTCGCACCTGTACTCTCGTATGTACCATAGACTCACTAAAAGAATTCCATGCTACTTTTCTCCCTCTTTCTATCTTGGAATCCGTGAGCCCAACAGTTATCTTAAGTTTCCCTCATCTCTCTGAGCCTACCTTGAGCCGAGCCGAGCCTGAGCGCTGAGCTAGAGCCATCAAGTTGAGTAAAAACTTTTCTATTCCTTTGCCACGAGTTTTACGTGTACGGCGCTGCCTCATGTTCACTTCGTTGCTACCTGATCTTTTCCCTTCAGCTTCCCACCTCGATCTACCGACCGAATTACCTCTTTACCTTTCACCAGCAAGAGGTCCATCTTTCATCTCTTCGGCAGTGCATGAATTTTAATGAAAGGAGGAATGGCCTCGAATCTAAAGTTCGAACGTAGACTTGAATACTTCAAGGGGATGACCCAAATGATGAGTTGCTGTTCCGGGTACATCATAGGCTTGGAGATGTTTTTTAAGAGTTCAATAAGGACAACAGGTCTTCCCACCGATGGTTTCCTGACTCTCAGGCTTGTTTAGCCCCGATTGTCAACTTCAACAACTTCTTCATTGGGCGTCCGGCGATTTCATGCCTCCGGATCTGAAGTGTCCAGACTGTGGCACAAACGACTAGTTTGTTCGCTTCTCAGTTCAAAAGACCCGAGTTTTCTCGTTCAGGAGGAAACCGATTTTATCACACTCTGGTACGAGTAGGCACAAGTCTCCAACTTTTCGAATGTGTATGATCGAAAGAGGATTCTAGTATTGATCCACCGGGACATTGTTCGCATTAACACTACACGACGGTGTTTTCCCTTTCAGCATATTCAATTAAAATCGTGCTAACAAGAACAACCGTTATTAGCTGATGTGTGGAATGGAAGGCCGGACTGACACACTTTTTTAGCGCTGATAGCTGCGGTCTAAAGCCTGATATAGAACCTCCGAACTGATGGGACGTAAATGTCAACTCCGGCCAACAGCAGGCGGTGGTGCTCACTTTCGACGCCTGAGTAATACAATCACATTTGTAGCACACCATTCACTTTCACAAAAAGCACATTCACATCATCTTTGGCTCCCATTCGATTCTATAAACCCACAGTCATTTTCACTTTGTGCACAGACCAGCAGAGTCACTCTGGCTCCGGATTCGGGATAGCATGTCATTTACTTCACAAGGTATAAGAGGAAAATCGTCACAATCGAAGTTAAGTACAAGTAGGGTAAGATTAATTGCTTGCGCAAATGATTGAGGAAATCCGGGGTTGTAAGGGACTGCACACTCACAGGACCTTCCAGATTAAAACGTGAACCATTTTGGGCCGGCAGTTTGAACACCCACATGAACCTTTGTTTGACTATCTAGAGGAACGGAATGAGTATGGCATTCCGAAAGATAGATCTGGAGGTGAACAAACATACACCGGCCCAGGGCAGGGCAGGAATATACCACATACCCACTATTCTCCTCACTGCCACTGCCGGACGTGTCCGGTTCATCAGAATAAGGAGAATATCACGCTTGTTCTCACAGATGACTTGAGTGTGAGGTGCTGCCAGTGTTCCCCGGGGTAAAAGGTGGTACTGTCAGAAACAGAAAATCAACGGGTTTTCCCCCATATAACAACTATATGAATGTGAAATTCTAAAATATGATCATGATTCCTCCAGATGTGAACCTCAAGTGTGAATGTGTGCACCTCAGATATGAATATCATAATTAGGAGAAAGTGAAAGAGCCTATAATATAATATACCCTGAAGTCATACTGAACATTTCTCTAGGTTAGGTTGAACCTTAAATTATTGAGTGTATGTGACCCATCAGTGGAACAGAGCTACTCATCACTCACTCATTTACATCAGAGAAAAAGAGAAGAATCATAATCTACACTATCCCAAACAGGTTTAGATCAAGATATCACTCTACCGTGCCGTTTGCCTTGCAACCTCAGCCTCTGAATCTGAATTCTCTGCCTGCCCATGATATAAACCACTCCCATTCTCCTCATCAAAGCTGAAGTCACACCACATATCAATTACATTCTCATCCCACATAGCATTATTTTCAGCTCCAAGGCCTCTATTGCATCCCCCTGTGTAGTACTCATCCTGATCAACTAGCAGTGGTTGCAAGTTCTCCAACTCTGATCCTAGGCAAGAAATCTTCTCCCTGTCCTCATTGTCAGTCAAATAGTCCTTCTCCTCTTCCTGATCATAGCCATCAAGTTGAAAATCTCTCAATGTGGGCTCTTCTAAGTGTTCAAGAGAGTAAATAAGAAAACAATTGAACAAGATGATAATAGGAACATACAATTTAATCACTCTACTAAATATTAGATGAGGATTTGACATGTCCACCACACCTTTAGCCACTTGATCTGACCAATAAATGAATCAACACCAGTATTTAACCCAGGCCCAAACTTCTTCCATTTGTTATATTGGTCAATGCACCAGATATCATTACCCCTGCTGCCCAAAAGTGTCACAAGCTCAGGTTCCCATTGCTGAAACCATGCAGCTACAACTGATCTATTCCAAGGCAAGCAGACATAAGGAGGTACACATGATTACTGAGTACTCAATAATTTTTGGACTTGCACTAGCTGATACCACTGAGACTCAATCTACAAGCTCCCACACCCAGTGTGGCATGTCAGTGACAGTACCGTGAAATGCACTAGAAGTGCTTGTAATTTTCATAAAATTTGGAGAACCCTGATTTTGCTCTTTGCTTGATACTTTCCTAAGAAATCCTTGGTACAGTCTCCACCACAGACTGTGAAAAGGCGAAATGTTGTTTGGAAATCTCCAACTCAAACAAAGGTGAGAGCTGAACTCTACCATGGTGGCTGTTTGTTAGCGAATAAAACGGCCAGGCCAGGGCTTGAACCTGGGCCTCTGCAATCCCGGCGCAGTGCTCTAACCAACTGAGCTACCCAACCATGTTCAAGGGATGTCGGCTTTACCACTGTAATCCAACACTGTTCTGTCAGTGCATCAAATAATATGAATCATTTTACTCTTGAGAACATTTTAAACCAACTAATTTCACTATAAGTTTCAGCAACAACCATGAATGAAATTATTCCTTTGATCCCGGTGACTATGCAGTTACAAGATGTTCTTGATCTGACCAATGGTCACCATCAACGCTGTTATGAAAGTGACAAATGGACAATTCCCAGCCCATGCATCGTTACCACTGCCGACTATGAGCCTGGTTACTGAGGCATTCAAAACCCATCATGTTGCCAGTCTGGCAATGATTGTCACAGATGATCTATGACATAAGTTCACCGGCCTTGAATGGCTGCTTCAGGGTCAAGTGTGCTTGAAACAGATTCATTTTATAAAGGTCAAAGGTGGTGGTGGCTTTGTTGGAGGTGATAGAGACAAGCCAATAGTTTGCTGCTCTACCTGTTATCCTGTGCTTGTTATAGGATGAAATGTCCAAAAATTCATAGCCAGTTCTCTGGGTTGGGTGAACTCAAGGGGATCTTGATCAAAGCCAACTCATACTGGGTGACAATGTTGCTCCCATTTTGTTATGAGTATTTGAAGCAATTATGGGTGATCCAGGTGTGTTTAAAAACCTATTCATAAGGCTATATGATGACTGAACCACTTGAAACCAGAGTGGCCCAAGCCACCCATAGAAATCCCATGCCTATGCTACGTTCAGGCTGCATTCTTTATGACTTCGTCAAAGCCAGATAGCTGACCCTGTCTTGATGGTACTCCAGTAGAATGCACATTCCTGATGGAAGAATTTGTTTCAGTGGAAGCGGCGAAGATTTTGTCAAATATATTCACAATGACAGTGCCAGTCCCAGCAATGATCTTTCTGCATCGCCTTTTCCACTACTCCCCTGCCTCTTTTCACGATTTTATCTACAGTCAATTCCCCCTTCTTAGGATTGGTAAATTCATACCATCTTTTACTTTGGTCTATCGTAATTCGCAGCTGGCCGATTTTCAGATTCATATTGATTGCATCCCAATCCCTGCGCCAATAAATGATATCTCCACATTCCCCCACCCGCACGGGTTGACTCAATAGCCACATGAGGAGCCGAGAAAGAGGACATGTAGTTGGGCGGTAATCATGATAAACATCAGGATTTCAAACATTAAGCACAGAGATCGATCATAGGTTCCGGTGTACGAACTGGAGCCAAGTAGTACTTTTTCTCTCTTTCTACACTTACAAGCTGGGCATCGTGCGCGTTCTTCACATTCTGAGACCTACTAAATGCAATGACGCCTGCCCAGATAGACATCGGCCCGGCGATGACAGCTAGTCAAGTAGGTAAATCACTTGCAATGTTAATCCTATTTAGCCATCGTCCAAGCGCTACTTGTCTGGACCCGGTCAGAACAGCATCTCATTGATTGTTGCTCGGTCAACATGGTTGGAATCATAACCGCAGCAGCCGTTGTACCCAATCACAACGGTCTTTCATTCCTTGGTCAGCACGGGTTGCTGAAAAGCGAATGACCTCAAAAATCCGCATTGACTCTGATAGGCGACCGCCGCCGCCCATAGATGCTACTCTCAGCGGCCAGCACGAGGTGTTTCATTGCACCACTTTCTACTTGGTATTTGGAGCTCTTATGAAGCTAGGGTACACCGTAGTATACAATTGCGGGTTATCATTATCATTGCGGTCACGGAAGGCAGGAAGGTCTACAAGCTTATACTAAAATATGATGCAACAGTGAAAGGTATATAAACCATCTTTCATACACTCTCATCTTCCACAATAAATACTTCTTCACCAACATGCAATTCCGCGTTCAGGCTTTGATTATCACCGCTCTCGCAGCCTTTGCCCTCGCTGCGCCCTCTCTACAAGAACGTCAGCAAGGCGAAAACTGCGTACGTCTCAACCGTAGAGGCTTGAATTTTGAGTAAAGAAAACTGACTTTCAACTTGTAATGTTCCTGTAGCGCGAGGTTTTCTTCCCTGACCAGTGCGCTTCAAACGAAGTTCTTTGCGACGGTGCTGGTTCGATCGAGATCTGCTGCACCGTACGTGTTTTTTGTTGCCCTCTGACGAGAATAAACTTACAGTTAGCACGATCCATAGAGATGCTTCTAATCAAGTGTATTTGTGGGGGGGAGGCTAATATCAGTCCATGAGAGTGTAGAGATGAGAAATGAATCGATGGATCGTTTTTGACTCATATCTTACTACCTCTTACCCAGCTCCAAATGGATAGCAGTTCTGTACTAAAGATATTACTGGAAGTCATGGTATTCAAAAAGAACAGGCCAAGGTATTGAAGACAGGAAAGAAAGCCAGTAACAACAAATCACTAAATGATGACAATCAAACATCCTCGCTTGAGAACAACTTCATAGTTTTAGCTTCAGGGAGGAGATGAAGGCTGAGAAGAATCTCCCTCCTTCGTCACTGATTATCCATAGCCGCCATTTGTACAACAAAGTGCTTGTCACTGTCTTTTCGTGCGGAAAGATCATTACATTGTAGGCTTTGCAGACGAAATCGCTCCGTTTTCCCGGTCCACGTTGCTGGGGAGGTCCGGGTGATCGGAAAGACGGCTTTTCATATTATCAAACTCTATATTTTAGATCGACGACTAGCGTTGAGGCCTTGAGAGGTCAGGGAGAAGGTAAAAATAGCTGGTCAGCACGGATGAAAAAAAAAACGGGCGATGTTGTTGCAGGACGGAGGACGATGTTGACCATGAAGGCTGTGCACCGTTTCGGATGTCAATCAATTTGCGACAAGGCCAAGCGCAGGTGGAGTGGCCAAATACCATTCAAATATTCCATAAATCAAAACTCGTTCACAACCTCGAGCCAATAATCTCTCGCAAAACAATAATCGATTATCTTGATATCCGACGCAAATAACCCTAAGTATATCAATCTAAAAAAGCCTTGATGTCGATTTCGCTACTACCCGATTGCTCCATCTTCGAATGACCGACCCTTTCCGAGTCCCCGCTAAATTATTCAACCCTCCTTCGACCGACCTCTCCATCGACCAACGTATTTATTATTATTAATTGGTGAGTGACCCCATCCATCGCCTCGTGAGAGAGAGAGTAAGAAAACTAACCGTCGATATCTAATATTAAAAATAGAACGCCTACGCAACAGGCAAAAAATCTTTCGAAAGCGTGCTCGCGTACTCGTGTTCTTAACGAACACTGTTTGGACAGTTGGTGAGATATACTATATCGACAGGCTTTCTCATTCTTACGGTAATGAATAAATTTAGACCCTCTCTAAAGATGCAATGCCTCTCCGAGCTACTGCTGGAGGTCAAAGGACAACTCACGAAATTCACCACGACGTGTCATCCGTCATTTCTACATCGGGCATGAACAAGTCCCTCAAACGGTAAACGTTAAACTCTGACAGGGATACTCATGAGTACCACGGAATCGTCACCTTGCCCAATCACTTAGCGACCAGTCACTTATCATTTAAAGAGCAGAACGCCTCCTCTGATCAATGTCGTCTCTCCAACCTTGGTTCAACATTTCGAGAGAGAAATCCGGTTCAAAAGCTTCCGAAGAGATGAAAACCAACTTCAGCCGAAGGTCCCTGATGAGGTCGGATATAAGAAGTGGTGGAAAGCAATTGGTGCCACCCGTGGAGTCTAAGCATAACTTACTTCATTCCTCCTTCGTTCATCTCATTTCTCTCAATAATAACGAGCTGTACCCTACAGCCGGTTTCGCTTACCGTTGATTTAGTGACCGCTGGAAGAAGCAAGACCTGCAACCACCTCGGCGGTTAGAACGAAGTCGCGCGCAGGGCATAATTAGGGAAGATAACAAGGTGTTTGACAAAAATCTTAGGCGTTATTCCCCATATCGTCATTTATCGCTATTGCTATTGGGATACGGCTGCATCCATGAGTATAGACCCCGAACTTTAGCTATCTCAGGTACGTTCTTCTGTGCCTGTTTTAGCTCGATCGACCTCTTATAAGGCGAAGGAAAGAAGCCGAGGAACAAGAAGTCAGATGAGATGGGCTGCAAGAGACAAGTACACCCCTTACGACTCCGTAAGCTTCTCTCTGATTTTCGTATCCATTATTTTGAATAATGACAGTCTCTCGTAGCCGTTCGAAATACAAAAGCATCATCGCGGATCTAGACGTCAAAACTTTGCAAACCTTAGAGGTCTGGCTGTGGTAGTCGGCGGGTTCAATAGAACGCACGAGCAGAGTTGCTGATAACATTTTGCACACTTTATGTCGATTTCTAGTGCCATCAGCCCAACGGTCGAACAGGATTGCGGAATAATCTCACCAAAGTCTCTCAACTGATCCTGGAATGATAACTTTTTCTGTCCCTTGGACTCGGAAGCTACGACTTCTGTCGTTAATGTGCATCGTCGATTCTGCTATTGGTCTAGCCAATTTTATCGGGAACACGGCTCTGATTGAATTTTCAAATGTCTGTTATGAATCC